GCTCTATCCCCATTTTTAGACCCACTAGGGAGGGGGGGGGGGGGGGTACGGTGATTAATTTGAAACACAGTATTTTTTGCCTTTTCGGTATAAATTATATACCCAATAGGATTTTTTTCTTCTCTCTCTCTATGAGCTGAAATCGCTGCATTCTAAACCCTTGATATTTAAAATAAATCCCCTGAAATAATTGTTTTTAACATGGGTTAAATATATTAAAGAAATATGGCGTCGGAGGTTTAAATCACGTTCGGAATTAAACCATGCGAGCACAAAGCGCGAGCCGAAATGTTTCGATATAATGACTTGATAATGTAGAGTGGGTAGGCAAAGGGCGTGGTTCCATGCGCGTAGCTAGGATTTTATTTTAGGGGGGGGGGGGCGATAATGAGCACCCTTTGCGTGCGAATCATTTAAAGAGCGCGCAAAGCAGGGAGGGGGGTAGTTTCCCCGCGCGAAGCGCCGAAGCTCTGAAAGAAGACGATTCTTTGTACTTTTCTCGACTCTTAATCCTTGTCTGAATTCAGTCTCTCTCCCCCCCCCCCTCCTGCGCAAAGCGCGGAAGCTTTGACGTATTATTAGACAAAGAAGACGATTCGTTGGACCTTTCTCGACTCTTGATCCTTATCTGTAATCAGTTCCCCCCCCCCCCCGCCGCGCGAATCGCGGAAGCTTTGACGTTTCTTTAATTTATTAGAGAAAGAAGACGATTCGATGTACCGTTCTCGAATCTTAATCCTTATCTGATGTCAGTTTCCTCCACCTCCAGCACGAAGCGCGAAAACTTTGAAGTTTCATTAAATTATTAGCGAAAGAAGACGATTCGTTGTACCGTTCTCGACTCAAAATCTTCATCTGAATTTAGTTTTTCCCCCCTCCCGCGCGAAGCGCGGAAGCTTTGACGTTTCATTCAACTATTAAAGAAAGAATACGATTCGTTGTAGGGTTCTCGACTCTTAATCCTCGTCAGAATTCAGGTTCCCCCCCCCCCCCTCCCGCGCAAAGCGCGGAAGTTTTTCATTTAATCATTAGAGAAAGAAGACGATTCGTTGTACCGTTCTCGACTCTTAATCCTCGTCTGAATTCAGGTCCCCCCCCCCCTCCCGCGCGAAGTGCGGAAGCTTTTAAGTTTCATAAGATTATGAGAGAAAGAAGAAGATTGGCTGTACAGTTCTCGAATCTTAATCCTCGTCTGAATTCAGGTTCCCCCCCCCCCCCGCGCAGAAGCTTTTAATTTTCATTAAATCAATAGAGAAAAAAGAAGATTCGTTGTACCGTTCTCGAAAATAATCCTCGTCGATATTTAGTTCCCCTTCCAACCTCGCGCAAAACGCGGAAGCTTTTACGTTTCATTAAAGATTATTATTACCGTTCTCGCCTCTGAATCCTCGTCTGAATTCAGGTTCCCCCCTCCCGCGCAAAAGCTTTGACGTTTCATAAGATTATGAGAGAGAAGAAGACGATTCACTGTACCGTTCTCGATTCTCAATCCTTGTCTGAATTCAGTCCCCCCCCCCCTCCCCTCCTGCGCGAAGCTTTGACGTTTCATTAAATTATTAGAGAAAGAAGACGATACGTTGTACCGTTCTCTATACTCTTAATCCTTGTCTGAATTTCAAAGATTTTCTTTGTCTGCTCCTTTTACTTTCTACGTCCTCTTCCGATTTGGGGGGACCGCCCCCCCCCCCCCCCTGGCTGGCTACGCGCCTGCGGTCAGTTAAACACATTTTGATAACTTGTCCGGCTCCGGAAGCTCAGGGGTTTTAGGCGTTTAATTAAGGTCAGATGATCATTTTTTTTAATACCTATTATTTTGTGACACTGGCAGGTCACTATTTGGCGTGGGGTCCAGGGGGCGGATCCCCCAAAAGCGGGGTTTTAGGCATTAAATTACCGTCAGATGAGCATCTAAGGGCCCGCTGTAGCGCCCTAGGTGGAATCCAGGGGGGCAGAGCCCCGGAAGCTTAAGGGTTTTAGTCATTTAATCACGGTCAGATGAGCATATTTTGATGACTCATTTTTTAACACTGGCAGTTAACTATTTATTCTTTCTTGCGCTCATTCTATTTTTTTTCTCTTTAATATACTTTTTCAAATAAAGTGGGGGGGGGGGGGGGGGGGGGGGGGGGGGGGGGGGGGGAGCTCGAGGCTCCCGATCCCTGCCGTACCTCGGGCCCTGACATGTAGGAATCTCAAGAATCATATTTCGTGCCTGGCTGTAAATTTAGGAATTTGTCATTTTCCAACAAACACATATACAAACGTATAATTTACTAAAAAGTGAGGACAAATCTCGGAAATTATGTCATTTCAGCATTATTTGTAATCCACCGTTGTGGAATTATAAATAAACCACGTTTGAATTTGATTTCCCCAAAGCCCCCCCCCCCCCATTAGTACGCCAGTATCTCCTCTTTTCCTTTTTTCTTTCCCTTTCCTTCCTTCTCTCTTATTTTTTTGATTGGAGGGGGGGGGGGGGGGGGTCAACAGCCTGGGAGGAAAGGCCCTTTCGGTCCCCCCGATCTCCTTCTTCCCCCTTTTCTTTTCTTCTTCTTCTTCTTCTTCTTCTTTCTTTCCCTTTCTCTCCTCTTTCCCTTTCCCTTCTTTTCCTTTCTTCTCTCTCTCTTTTTTTTTTTTTTTTTTTTTGCGGGGGGGGGGGGGGGCCAAGGCCCGCTCGGCCCCCCCTGGATCCGCGCCTGACTTTTGTTGGCAATAGTAACGTTAGACAGTCATAACCAACATCCAATGAATGAATCGCGGTTAATGGAATGATATTTTTTTCTGACCACTATAAAGAACAAATCATACGATATCATTCCGCCTACATCAGATCTGATTAAAAAAGGGCAATGAATTATTTTTTTAAAAATTACTTGATGAAGTCCGGGGAGATTAAGATGTGCCTGTGATGATCTTACTCCAATGCAATGCAAGGCTATAAGCCCCCCTCAATCAATCTCCCAATATTTATAAACTGTCAGTTTTAATAATAATTTGAATACTAAGTCGATCTGTAGATTATAGAAACGCATAAAGCTTCTAGCCCAGAACATAAGTGTGCAAATATATTTGGGGAGGGCGGGATCAATGATAGCCTATCCGAGCCCCTCAAAAATATCAGGGGGCTCCGTGATGTTATCCGAGCCCCACAAAAATATCGGGGGCTCCGTGATATTATCCGAGCCCCACCAACAATAATTGGGGGGGGGGGGGCTGATGATATCTGAGTCCCTCCAAAATATGGGGGGGGGGGGGGCTCAAAGATATCTTAGCCCCACCAAAATATGGGGAGGGGGTGCTCAATGATATCAGAGTCCCGCCAAGAAAATATTTGGGGGTCTCAATTATATCCGAGATATATATATTTTTTTGGGAGTCAATGTTATGCGAGATCCGATGTCTGAGCCCCGCCCCCCCCCCTCCCCAAATAAATATTTATAAAATGTTTATATTTGAATGGTAAGTCTGTAGATTATAGGTATACATGAGTTTCATGCCTAGAATATAATGATAGGGGAGGTGGGGTTAATGATATCCGAGCCCCGCAATAAGTATTGGGTGCGGCTCAATGATATGTGAGCCCCACTTAAAATAGTGGGGGCTCAATGGTATCTGCGCCCCTAAGGACTCAATGATATCTAAGCCCACCACAAAATCGGGGGCTCAATGATATCTATAAGCCCCGCCAAAAATATTGGGCGGGGTTCAATGATATCTGAGCCCCCCCCCCCCCCAAGATTTTTCATTGGGGGGCTGTGCCCCCGCAAGCCCCCCTCCCCGGTTCTTAAGCCTATGTCTACGATCACGACTGAATCACCATGGTATCACCGATCTCTAGCTAGCTCTAGCTCTAGCTATAGAAAAAAAGATCGGTGTGTGTTTCTATGGCATGCAACGATGGGTATGATTGGTCAACATTAAACTAACGGTAGTGTGTTTTACTTACGCTACTGAATTACTTAGGCAGTTGCGTTAATGAAAACTAAAGAGCTTACGTAGGTAAAATAATCCCTAGAATGAGTATACGTAAGCTTTTCATCATTTGACTAACGTAACTGTTTAGTAACGCAAGCACTACTCTGTAAAATCATTGGATACTAAGTGTACGTTAGTGTTTCCTTATTGGTTACGTTACTAGTTAAGTTTATGGCGGGGTTGGCCTTCCATACATAGAAGCACGTGCGCTAGCTATATCGATAAAGTGTGTGCGGACGTTGTACTGACTGCATGCGTATAGCCCACGTGTATTTATACCACATGTGCAGTTGATACACCGTGCATAAACATTGTATACATTGGCGTGTTTTCTTCAATGCTTGTGCGATGACTGCGATCGTGGAAGCTTGTTATTTACCGGACTTCCTCGGATTTATTTTGGATTACTACTACTATATTCTTCTTCTTCTTCGTTGATTTCTCCATTTTTGAAGGACAAAATGGGTAAGACTCGTGCTGTTCATAAAAATAGACCCTAAAGTCCTGTGTACCCCCCCCCCCCCCCAATCTACGGGCTACTACCCCAATCCTTCGGTGGTTTGCGACCTCGTAGTCCATCCAGAAAAATTTACTCTGAATTTCTCTTGTCTCAGGTTGGCAGGTATGAATAAGCAGTAGGGATAATAAAGAACACATATGTACATGCATGCCAAGTTTTCTTCCATATTCAAGTGCACTGCTTAATGAGGTATTTATAAGCCTTGTGTGTCTATATGCCTCAATATACGATACCTTTGAATAAATCTTATCAGTACAGGTAGCTTAATAAAATCAGGTAGGTATTTGCATGAAACTGCAGGTACTGACAGTGTTCAACTGTAGGAGCTAGTGTACATATTTGTAGGCTTAAGTAGTTTTTCTTCCACTAGTTGTACTGTCTGTTTTGCCTGAATGCTCATCAGCAACTGAACTAAACTTACAAGGTATGAATGAATGTACAGTAGGGGTTACAACACTATAAGAGATACTTCAGAGATGCTTGATAAAATATGTTTTTATTACAGGATTGTCAGTGAGGAGGAATTCATAAAGCTGTCCAAGCTAATTGAACCTGGCTACTACAAAGCGTTGGGCGTTCACCTGAATATCTCCATCGCAGAGCTTGGTCAAATCAAGGAAAGTAGCCTAAATACCAGTGATGCATTTATAACATTGTTCACGAAATGGAGAAACAAACAGCCTCCAGACACAGACATCAGGGCTCTTCTTGCAGAGGGATTACAAAAAAGTGACTTGGGGTACCTCTCTGGTGAACTACTCCCTCGCAGTCTAGTCCTGAAGCAGACAGGTGAGAATAAAAGGAAATCATGTCGGCTTCCCGCAAGAAGGCCTTTACTGCTGTTGATAATGTATTCCTCTTGCAGGCAGCCAACAAAGACTGTTTTGCCTCTTTCTTGTTGGTTTATATAGGATTATTAATAGCAGGACATCCCAGTAGACAGTCCACGAGACTGATACTGCTGGTCTTGTGAACCCTCAGAACACTTGGAGTTGTCAGAACACCCAAGAGACTGACATGCCAGTCTTATGGGCTGTCAGTCCATGGGTCGTTGGTCTTGTGCCTCGTGGGCCTCCTGACAACTTTTTCAGAAGATTCGCTAGAAAGATGTTGTCGGTCTTGTGGGCTGTTGGTCGCATGGTCTGTGGCCATTAATACATGGTTACAGACCAACTCACTTTGTGCTGTGTAAGGGAGATGATGAAATTAGTTTTATATAGAGCTGTACAAGGATTGTCATTCAAATTTCTTGGCATTTCAAGCCCATGCAGTCACTTACTGACTTTTTTTTCAAGTCAAGCTCATCTTTCAACACCAAGTTTATGATAGTTGTACCATTAAAAAGTCATTTCATCTTTTGTGACCTTAGGCCTAAAATAAAAACTTGTTGTATTGCCCTTTGCGAATGACCCAAAAATCTGAAAATCTATGGTCGGCATTTTAAAAGAGTTTTTTTTTTTTAACCGTTTTTTTAGAATTTTTTTTTATTAATGAATACAAAAATATGTATTTTATTTGTTTAAATGGGATATAAATGCATAAAATCAAATTCTCACTCGTCTTCTGCCCAAGTTTCAAAATCCTACTAGCGTAAAATGCAATTAGACCCTGGCCTCTTGTACGTGTTTATAGTTTAAACCATGCACTGCACCAGCTAGAAAACTGAAAAAAACCAAAAAAACTAGAAATTTAATTTGTCATGGGGACGAATTAGGTGGTCTGTCTTCAATTCTTATAAAATTGTTGGAGACGCCCGGTCTCGAACCAGGGTACTCGAGGTCGGAAGTCAAGTGCGTTACCGATATACCAAAAGATTTCCCATAGGGAATACACGTAAACGGAAAATGGAATTATCAAATCCCACTTTGCAATTGAAATATGAGCATGATCCCGGCATCTGATTGAGAAATAAATGTCCACTTGTGATAGCTTATTGTCTCAGCTACAACATACTCAAAGTTCAGCGAAAATGAAGCTGAAACGACGAAGATATTGCTCGCAAAAGACAGGATGTAGAATCCAGTTTTGAGAAAATGTCATGTCCCATAGAGAATGCACGCAAAATGTGAAAAATTGACATGCCTCCTTTAAAGGGAAGGTCCACCCCCAAAATAAGTTTGTTTCGATAATGGCAGAATAATATGAAAATCAGGTGAGTGAAAGTTTGAGCAAATTCTGAATGAAAATAAGAAAGTTATGAATTATTGTAGTTGGGATCAATCAAATACAAATTGGCAACTCTGTGACTTATTATACGAGCTCTCCTTCATTTGCTTTGTGCATAATATTCCATAAAATCATGTTTTCTTCGTTATTGATGACGGAATATATATTTGTTCCTTGCAGGGGGTGTATAGAAACATATTTGCCATTATTATATTTAGGGTGCATGTATGGTTGAAATTTTTCTTGAGGGAAAATGAAAATTTTAGATTTTTTTAGTACTGAGCAAATGGAAGTTGAGCTCGCATGATACGTCATAGAGTTGCCAATTTGTGTTTGATTGATCACAACTTCAAAAATCCTAACTTCCTTATTTTTAATCGGAATTTGCTCAAACTTTCACTGACTTGTTTCTCTCATTTTTCTACTCCTATTAAAACTAACTTAATTTCAGGGTGGACTTCCCCTTTAATCGCGAAAATACGCCATGATACCATGGTCAAAATGAAATATCGTGATGACTGCATTTGTAGAGAATATTCTCAGGTAGAACATATCAAAATTTGAAAGAAAATTGATCACTATTTACAGAGATACAATCAATTTTCCAAAAATCTGCTGACGTCATAATATGCAAATTGAAATTTTGAGTTCGGAGGCCATTATGATGACGTCATGAGTTAACTGAGGGTCAAATGAGACATGAAATCATATCTCCAACTCATGCTTTTTCCAACTATGATATAAAAGTTTGGGGTCAATCGACTATCTGAAGAGCTATTTTGATTTTAAAATGGCATGTGTTTGATCAAATTTGCATTATATTTCCCATAGCAGCACGCGCGGATTTTGAACTTTGACGCGCGCTCACGGCCTTATGAAAGGTCAAGAGTGACTGAAATTAATGTAAATTGTCATTTACGGTAAGAGGAATCTAATCATGTAAACATTTTGAATTTTACCTTTTCCGCGCGTTGTGAGCGCGCACAACGCATGCGGGGACACGTACGGACGGAAAATTTTGAAATGCTTAAAATGACCCGATTCATACTCTCGTTTAATAGTTAAGTGATTTTGAGCTTTTTAAAATTTTGACGCACACGTTCGCGCGCGTCATGACCTTTTTGTGAACTTTGATGTCATGACCTGTTGACCCTTGACCTAAAGTATATGTGATATGAATATGAATGACCTTTGCTTATGCATCATAAAGATATGGATAACGTGATTTCACAAAATGGCACCTGGATGACGTCACGATAACCAAATGACCTTGAAAATGTTTCTGTCACGTCTCATGACAATGACCTATAATTGTGCCGAAATTTAATGAAATTAACTAAACCAAACTTGAGTTATCCGGGGCACAAAAAACGGGAAGAAATAAAAATAAAGAATAATAATAAATAAAGAAAGAAAATTCTGACGAAAACAATAGGTGATCTGTCGAAAACGACAGACCACCTAATAAGGCCCAAAAGGGGGACAAAAAAAAAATGTAAACAAATATATATATTTTCCGTCCAACCGACCCATGTTTTGGCACCTAAAGGGCAACACAACAAGTTTTAATTTTAGGTATTATGTCAAAATGGAGAATTTCTCTTTTTTGTGTACAAAGCAAAAGGAAAACTACATTTCTCTCTGTTCTTTCTATATAGCATGAAATTGTTCTTTGAGCTGTAATTCATGAGGTTCATTTTTATTATAATTGAATCTTGATCCAGATTACACCTTCAAACAGAACTAAAAACATGAAAATGTAAAGTTAAAAAAACAATAAAATGATACTTTAGAAATTTGTTTATACGTTCATGTGTATGTTATGAATATCCTCAAAGGAAACATTTTGATATTCAGAAAAAATTGTCATACTTATGTTATTAAATTTAAAGGTGCACCTGTTACAATGCCAGGATCACAGACCCAACCACTTTCTCCTGACCTCATTGAGAGATGTGCAGCTGATTTCAAATTCAAGTACCGGACAACTCTCTGTAAGATCAGAGCTGATCCTCTTGACCCTGATTCCATTGTGCCATTTGAAGACATGTATGTAAACCTTGTCTTGGAAGAGGAATATCGTAAAGACAAGCGACCACTTAAGTACAGGGATCTCTTTAATCTTAAAGTAAATGGAGAGTTCCCCAAGCGGATCATGATTCAGGGAGAGGCAGGGGCTGGAAAGACAACATTCTGTGCTAAGATTGCCTGGGACTGGATAAATGACTGTCCTGATGTCCCAAAGTTTGTGTGGGTCCTTGTTGTCCCTTTTCGTGAAGCCAAGCAATACACGATCGGTGAGATTGCCAAGTCATATCTCTCCAAGGACAACCCAACAACAGCCTGCCAGATCACCGAGTACATCCGTTCAAATCCAAAAGATGTATTCATTGCATTTGATGGATTAGACGAGTTTGGTGGCAAGGTTGTACAGCAAAGGAAATCTGGTTCAAAGTCAAAATGTCACCAGCAAAAGTCTGCTGATCAAACCAAGGCAAGATCAAAATCAAAGATGAACAAGAGGAAGCGGCCAAAGTCAACAAGTGCCACTTCGCAGCCAAGAGTCAACAGTGCAGAGGCAAGTGGAAGTTCTTCAGAGAGAAGTGACATTGCAATTAGAGACATTCTTCGTTCAGATGAACTTGCTGCTTGCCCAGTGTTTGTGACAAGTCGCCCATGGAAGGTCACAGGGATTCGATGGGATGATCGTCTAAGGAAACAGTACACTTTCATGCATTTGAAAGGTTTTAGCAAGGAGAATGTGGCGGTTTACATTCACAAGTACTTTCAAGATGATGGGGCCACAGCAGATCAGCTTATCCAATTAACCATAGACAATGACATCATATCTGAGAATATGGCCCCGTATCCTATCTACATAGCTATGCTCTGTCTTATGTGGAGAGAACTCAGTGACGAAAAACGAGAAAAGTTTAAGTCTTTTCAAACCTTTTCTCAAATATTTGATGAAATGTTTGAATTCTTGAAGGTGCATTATGCTCAGAAAATGATCACAGATTTAGGCAGCACATCATTCAAAGCCTATCTCTCTCAAATTGAGAAGCTCATGGAACCAGTTGCCAAAGTTGCTTTCATTGGGCTAAAAGAAAAAACTCTCATTTTCAAAGAAGATGATTTTGAACAGTGCTCAGACTCTATGGAAATAGCTTGCAAAGTAGGGGTGTTGTCTCAGGAGAAAAAAATGTCATCTTTATATGATGAGAGCGGTCTTTACCTGAAGTCTACAGTCTTCTTTCCACACAAACTCTTTCAGGAGTACATGGCTGGGGTCCATCTTGCTTCCCTGTATGAATCAGATCACAATGAATTCAACAGGCTGATTGAGCAAGTAGTGCTGCCTAGGAAGGAAGAGTTTAGGTATCTCCTGTACTTCACTGTATCACGGGATAAAACCATTGCAAACCATGTCATGAAATGCATGGTACAAGGTAGCACCACAAGCAAAGAGGAGATGAAGTTCTTGGTTGATGTGTCCTTTGAGAGTCAGGATCTAGATACTGCAGCCTTGCTGAGGGGTAGAGTGCTATCTCTGACAATATGCCTATTAATGACAGCACACACTATAGCAGGTTATGTATTCACTGGAGTATATAAAGATGTGGTAAGTTTGATATCTTACATAATTAACAAGTAAAGTGTCATCTCTGGTCGTAAACAGAGATATGAAAGCACACAATTTTGCAGTGTGCATAATATGGGGTCCCTCTTGCCAAGCGTGTAGCCCCCCCCCCCACAAAAAGAACAACAACAAAAAAGAGATGGAAAAAAGGGGGAAAGGAGAAAGGAAACAAAATGAAAGAGCATTAAACAACGATAGAAGAGAGGTGCAAAAGCATGAGGAATTGCATTTCTTTTAAAAGAATAATGGGATAGAAACCAGGGGAATCGCTAAAGGGGGGGGGGGGTTCCTCTTTCTCTTCTTTTTTTCCTTTTCTCCTTTTCTTTCTTTTCTCCTTTTCTTTTCTTTCTTTTTGTTTCCTTTTCTTTTTTCTTTTCTTTCCCTCTCATTTTCCCCTCCCCTTTTCTCATTTTTCCCGACAGCAGCGCAACTTTACCGACAATATCCCGACAGGTGAGGGGGGGGGGAGGGGATGTTGCACCCCCACACCCCCCTTTAGTGATGCCCCTGGTTGTTATCCCATTATTCTTTAAAAAGAAATACAATTCCTCTTGCTTTTGCACCTTTCTTCTATGGTTGTTTAATTCTCTTTCTTTTTTCCCTTTCTCCTTTAAAAGTACTATGACCCATTTGCAGCCCCAAAAAATTAAGAGGTTAAATTCCAACGGCATTTGAAAGATATTGCTAATTTAGAACTTCCCTAAAAGTTCTACAGAATTTGATGTTGGCTGCAAAAGGGACATAGTATCTTTAACTCACAAAAATTCTCTCTTTCCCCCTTTTTTCCATCTCTTTTTTTTGTTGGTTCTTCTTGTACTTTTTTTTTTTTTTTTGGTGGGGGGTACACGCCTGGCAAGAGGGACCCCATATTATGCATACTGCAAAATTGCGTCTCCCCCCCCCCCGCCCTTTCCCGGTAAAAAAAAAAACCTTCTTATAATTTCACCCCCCTTTCTTTTTTTCCCCTTCTCATTATTCTCCTTCTCCTTTTCCTCTTTCTTCTTTTTCTCCTCCTTTTTATCCTCTTTCCTTTTCTTCTTCTTTCCCTCTTCCCTTTTCTTCTTCTTTCTCTCTTCCCTTTTCTTTCTTTTTCCCCTCCTTTTTCTTTCCCCTTCCTTTTTCTCCTTCCCCTTTCCCCCCTTTTTTTGGACACATGCCCCCTGAATCCGCCACTGGTATAGTTTTATAGAGGTACAGTTTCCTGCATTCTGATTGGTCGGCTGGATAGACGTATAGTTGTATAGTACTGCATGATAGTGGCATGCTTGGCCCGCCATATTTACACGGCACCTCGACTAGCTCTTAACACAACCTTTACCCTAGAGTAACTTTTGTCCGTCTGAACAAGACTACTAACACACCTATAACTTTTGGTAATGCTGCCCCCAGTATTCCGCCTTCTTTAGGGTTAAATACCACATTTTTGTGGATGGTTTGTGTGCGCTTTATAGGCCACATTTTTCAAGGGATTTCGTTCAAATTTTGAACAAAGGTGTTTCTTGGTATAATCTACAAGCCTATAGATTTTGGTGATGCTGCCACCAGTGTTCTGTCTTTTATAGGATCAAAGGTCATATTTTGATAGTTTTCTTGAGTGCACTCTATAGTGTGCGATCTTAACTGCATCATTCCTTGACGGATTTCTTTCAAATTGAGTATGGAGGTGTATCTTGGTATTATCTACGCACATATAACTTTTAGTGATTCTGCCCCAGTGTTCCATCTTCTATAGGGTAAAAGACCATATTTTTGTGGATGGTTTGTGTGCGCTCTATATAGGCCCCATTTTTCAAGGGATTTGGTTCAAATTTTGAACGAAGATGTATCTTGGTACAATCTACACATCTACACTTTTGGGTGATGCTGCCCTCATTGTTCCATCTTTTATATGGTCAAAGGTCGTATGTCTTTTATGCGCTCTAACTGCCACCTTTCATGACAAATTTCTTTCAAATGTTGTATGGAGGTCTATCTTAGTATAACCTACACACCTATAACTTTTGGTGATGCTGCTCCCAGTATTCCGTCTTCTATAGGGTGAAAGACCATATTTTTGTGGATAGTTTGTGTGCGCTCTATAGGCCCCATTTTTCAAGGGATTTGGTGCAAATTTTGAATAAAGGTGTATCTTGGTATAATCTACAAGCCTATAGATTCTAGTGTTGCTGCCCCAGTGTTCCATCTTTTATAGGGTCAAAGGTCATATTTTGATAGTTTTCTTGTGTGCACTCTAGTGTGCGGTCTAACTGCATCATTCCTTGAAGGATTTCTTTCAAATTGAGTATGGAGGTGTGTATTGGGATTATCTACGCACATATAACTTTTAGTGATTCTGCCCCTAGTGTTGCGTCTTCTATAGGGTACAAGACCATATTTTTGTGGATGGTTTGTGTGCGCTCTATAGGCCCCATTTTTCAAGGGATTTCTTTCAAATTTTGAATGGAGATGTATCTTGGTACAATCTATACATCTACACTTTTGGGCGATGCTGCCCTCATTGTTCCATCTTCTATATGGTCAGAGGTCATATGTATTTGATGTGCTCTAACTGCCGCAATTATTGACGTTTTTTTTCAAATGTTGTATGGATTGTATGATCAGGCGCGAATCCAGGGGGGGGGCCGAGCGGGCCTTGGCCCCCCCCCCCCCCCCCCGCAAAAAAAAAAAAAAAAAAAAAAAAAGGGAAGAAGGAAAAGAAGGGAGAAAGGGAAAAAGGAGAAAAAGGGAAAGAAAGAAGAGGAAGAAGAAAAGTAAAGGGGGAAGAAAGAGATCGGGGGGGGCCGAAAGGGCCTTGCCTCCCAGGCTGTTAACCCCCCCCCCCCCCCCCCCCCCCCCCCATCCAAAAAAAATAAGAGAGAAGGAAGGAAAGGGAAAGAAAAAAAAGGAAAAGAGGAGATACTGGCGTACTGATAGAGGGGGGGGGGGGGCTAGGGGGAAATCAAATTCAAACGTGGTTTATTTCTGATTCCACAACGGTGTATTACAAATAATGCTGAATGACATAATTTCCGAAATTTTTCCGAAATTTTTAGTAAATTATACGTTTGAATGTGTTTGTTGGAAAATAAAAAAATTCCTAAATTTACAACCAGGCAAAAAATATGATTCTTGAGATTCCTACATGTCAGGGCCCGAGGTACGGCGGGGATTGAGAGCCTCAAGGCATCAAAATATGCTCATCTGACCGTGATTAAATGCCTAAAACCCCTAAGCTTCCGGGGGCTTTGCCCCCTGGATTCCATCTAGGGCCCTACGGCGGGCCCTTAGATGATCATCTGACGGTAATTTAATGCCTAAAATCCCTGATTTTTGGGGCTCCGCCCCCTGGACCCCACGCTAAATAGTGACTTGCCAGTGTCACAAAATAAGGTATACACAAAAATATGCTCACCTTAATTAAACGCCTAAAGCCCCTGAGCTTCCGGAGCCGGCTCCGCCGCCTCGACCCCACCAGGGGCCCTTAGGCAGGCCCCTGAATGCTTATCTGACCGTAATTTATTGCCTTAAACCCCTGAGCTTGCGGGGTCGGACAAGGTATCAAGATGTGTTTATCTGACCGCAGGCGCGTAGCCAGGGGGGGGGGGGGCGGTCCCCCCCCCCAATCGGAAGAGGACGTAGGAAGAAAAAGGAGCAGACAAAGAACATCTTTGAAATTCAGACAAGGATTAAGAGTATAGAGAACGGTACAACGCATCGTTTTCTTTCTCTAATAATAAAACGTCAAAGCCTCGCGCAAGAGGGGAGGAGGGAGGGGGGGGGGGGGGACTGAATTGAGACGAGGATTCAGAGGCGAGAACGGTAATACGAATCTTTAATTATTTAATGAAACGTAAAAGCTTATGCGCTTCGCGCGGGATGGAGGGGGAACTAAATTCCGATGAGGATTATTTTCGAGTACGGTAGACTGAATCGTCTTCTTCTCTAATGATTAAATGAAGATTAAAAGCTTCCGCGCTTTGCGCGGGAGGGGGGAACCTGAATTCAGACGAGGATTAAGAGTCGAGAACTGTACAACGAATCGTCTTCTTTCTCTAATGATTAAATGAAACGTAGAAGCTTCCGCGCTTCGCGCAGGAGGGGGAAGGGGAGGAACTGAATTTAGACAAGGATTAAGAGTCGAGAACTGTACAACGAATCGTCTTCTTTCTCTAATAATTTAATAAATCGTAAAATTTTCCGCGCTTTGCGCGGGAGGGGAAAAACTAAATTCAGACGAGAATTATTTTCGAGAACGGTACAACGAATCGTCTTCTTTCTTTAATAGTTTAGTAAAACGTCAAAGCTTCCGCGCTTCGCGCAGGAGGGGGAGGGGGGGAAACTGATTTTAGACAAGGATTAAGAGTCGAGAACTGTACAACAAATCGTTTTCTTCCTCTAATGATTTAATGAAACGTAAAAGCTTCTGCGCTTCGCGCAGGAGGGGGAGGGGAGGAACTGAATTTAGACAAGGATTAAGAGTCGAGAATTGTACAACGAATCGTTTTCTTTCTCTAATAGTTTAATGAAATGTAAAAGCTTCCGCGCGTCGCGCGGGTGGGGGGAAAAACTAAATTCAGACGAGAATTATTTTTGAGAACGGTGCAACGAATCGTCTTCTTTCTTTAATAGTTTAGTAAAACGTCAAAGCTTCCGCGCTTCGCGCAGGAGGGGGAGGGGGGGGGAGACTGAATTTAGACAAGGATTAAGAGTCCAGACTGTACAACGAATCGTCTTCTTTCTCTAATAATTTAATAAATCGTAAAATTTTCCGCGCTTTGCGCGGGAGGAGAAAAACTAAATTCAAACGAAAATTATTTTCGAGAACGGTAGAAAGGATCGTTTTCTTTCTCTAATAATATAATGAAACGTCAAAGCCTGGGAGGGGAAACTCGCCCCCCCCCCCGCATTACGTCACTGTTGGTCACCATAACGTACCAATATTTGGCTCGCATAATTTCAAATTTGGGCCCCCCCCCCTAAGAAATCCTGGATCCGCGCCTGTGTATGATTGGAATTCCTTACCTTATAATTTAAAAAGTAGTTCAACCCTAATAAAGTTTAAATATTCATGTAAACAGTTCTTGTTTAAACAAATGAAGTGCACTG